TATATATATATATAATATACATTGCAATAGCTTGGTGCTAGAGACAACATTCAATATAGAAAAGCAAAAACAGAAAATTCTACATATGTATTTGAGGTTATTTCCTAAAGCCTGGATATTATCACAATAAAACTTCTAAAACTGCTCTGAATGATTAAGATAGAGACTTGCACTTATTTTGAAAACAGGCACAGGGAGAAACTGAAGAATAAATGTAGCACACTACTTTTGGGAAATTACTTGATCTAAGATCTAATAATCTCCCATGATGCTCAGCTGGCTGACATGATGTGGGTGTAAATACTCAAAATCTGCACTACTATCTTAACACTGAGTTGTCATATATAAAGAAAGATCAAACAGGAATATAGGGCTGATTTATAAAGAATGAAACACATACAATTCAGAATGTACAAGTCATTCTGAATTGAGAAAGCTAGTCAAATGACCAGCAAAGCGTCTTCAAGAAAAATACAGCAAGTCCAGTTGCCTTGATTTATTTTTTTACAGCTATACAATGACCTGGATGATTGACAACCTTCACAGACATAGATATTAGATTGGCAGCTGTGGACAAGAGTTAATTGTTTTCCCATTTTCTTTGTTCCATGTTTGACCTCTATAGTGGAAAGTTACTAAATCTGGAGCAGTTGTGCATAGTACCCAATCAGCTTCTATTTTCAGTTTGTTCAGTTAAACTTTGAAAATGAAAGCTATAAGCTGATTGCCATGCATAGCTGCTTCAGATTCTGTTTGCTCCAGGCTTAGTAAATTCCCCTTAAAGTCTCTTTGTCTCTTTCTGTGCCAAATGAAGAAAAAAAGTGTTTAGCTGTAACAAATATTATAAAACAGTTAAATAATGGGTTTAATGTTATAAACATTGTCTTGCAAGTATGGATACTATGGCCAGTTCTGGAAAGCGGTGCATTTTTAAGAAATAGTGCAGGCACTTGTTGTGATGCAATAATGCACACTTTTAAACCGACAGGAATAAATGGTAAAAAGGAAAACCCCCCTAAATATACAATTTTGCACTTTACAAATGCAACTCTGTTTCCTTCCAAGTATTAAGTAGTAAAGTTGTTCTTTAGACTCCTTGCCAGGTCACCATGACACCAGATGTATGGTATCAATGCCTCACTGGCTTTTTTTTAACAATCCTCCTTGGTTTAAACAGCAATAAATTACAGTATGTAATGAACAATAATTTGAAATATTTTCTCCCACTAGTGAAGGGTCATTAGAATCCTTTACCATTTCCCTTCAGCACCTTATGGGTTAATATTCTTCTGAACCTGTGCCCCCCAAGTGCAGTAGATGCTATTTGGGTTAGAACCCGGCACTTTAATTTCTAGTCTACCATTAGCCCCAACAGGATGAAGTTTAACTTTAGTGCTTTATTTGAATTAATGTAGATTAAAAATGTGTTCTTACAACATGCAAGAATACAGTATTACTGGCTATGAGTCCTGTGCTGAGTAACCGAGCTGCAAAATGACCAGAACATTAAATCTTGTGATGACAATGAACTAGTGCCCCAACATCCTTTATGCCATAAGTAAGTTATGCCACTGAAGTCATGCTTTGGATCTGCTCAGAATGACCTCTTGTAAGGGACGTATCACCTTTCTCTCAAACACAGACTGCTGAAAGTCATAGTTGTAGTAGTGAACGTTGTGGTTAGAGTGGTCGTGCATGCATAACAAGGCACAGAAAGAGAGCACCAGAGAGCAGTCCCTCCTGGTAGTATTCAAAAACAAATTACTATACTAAGAAGCAGGGCTGTCCCTAAAATGAGGCAGCCTGTTGCAGCTGCCTCAGGCAGCATTTTATTGGGTCTCGTGGGGGGGTAAAGCCAGGCACAGTGCATCCCATGGTTGCAAAGAGCTCCTAGCAACTGGTGACACTCTGCCCAGTGTCCCACCCAGTTACTGACGTCACTAGTAGCCAGGAGCTTAGTGGGACAGTCTGGTTGTTCTCCGGCCCAGCTTCTGACAACCAGTGATATAATTGAGCTGGGCGGGCGGAAAACAGGAATCACCAGCACTCGGTAATATCATTCAACATGTCCATTTATTTGGACAAATCGTCACAATGAAAAAAGCCATCCATGGTCATCACTGCGAGCACCACTGTTGCATAGGCTGGGAGCGCTGTGGGCAGTGCGGAGGCGAAAGTGAACACAATCCCAATCGTACTCAGATCCCGGACTCCCCCACTGCTACCGCAATCCGGTGTTCTCCACTAAAGCAGCTGGGAGATGAGTAACACTGTGTCACTGTATCCCCTGCTCCTCTCTGCACCTGTATGCTCCACCCTGCCGGTGTCCCCTCACCAATAAATATGCCCCCTTTTTTTGGGGGGTGTCGTCCTTGAGTTCCACTGTAGCAATGATGTATGTAGGAAGATATATATTTTACTGATGTAAACTAAGTATAAATTACATATATTATAGAAAGAAGTCATATAGTTACAATATTACATGTTCTAAGGTTTATCTTTTCACCAACAAAAGCAGACAACTCCTAAATCACCCTATCTTCAGGAAACAGATAGATCAATTAAATATGAGGCGCATTCAACAAGTTATTATCAAACTCATATATACATAAAGAACATGTTTTATAAAACTGCCTACTACATTTCTTTATAGATAGGATACAATATGTATATGAGGCAAGCTTGTCTCAGTTTATAAACCTTCATTGTACATCATTATTTGTTTAAATATGTTTTCAGTATCTGGTTTTAATATGAAACATATATGTATACATATATATATATATTTTGCAAGTTAAGAACACGTTTAGTACCATACATGTGCTGTAGTGTTTTATTAATTGCTGAAATTCACAATTAATGGAGTATTGGCATCATTTAATCATAGAGCCAAAACAAGTAACAGCCTCAAGCAGAAGCATCACCTTTCCATGATAATATGCTTCTGTACATTGTGTATAGTGCCTATGCTAAAATCTGGAGTGCCTGTACTAAATCCAGGTTTTCATTAAACAATACAAAAGGTCCATTGCACACTTTCAATCTAGCCCACAAAAAAAGCTTAATTCATCTATTTTAGCTAACAGGTTTTTGTTGCATACGTTTGCAAATACAAGTTGAAGCCAAACTGCCTCGTCCAGGCACCTCTGGTGAATGTGGTTCCCAACTCTAAACTATCTGATTTCCCAACATATATAGCAATGCACAAACAGAGAGCAGGCTCACCTAGAGACTTTAACCTGAGTAGTGGGAAACAGATTCATTTTGTATTGTGTGCATTGCTCTGCTCATGTGCACCTTTCCCTTTTTTTGCTACTCTCAGACAGATCAGAGCATAGTGTGCAGCACAAAATGTATGCAATGGTTGCAGTATGCAACAAAATAGTGGCATTAGTTGAGGCACACTGCAGCAATTTGAAGAGTTTATTCGCAGTGCACCTATTGTCACAAAAGTAAAATATGGGGCTATTATCCTTTATATGGGGAATTATCCTATATCTGTTAGTGATTTTTATTGAAGACACATCTAAATTTAATTGTGTATATCAGTTTTAACCCACACACAGTCCTTACAGTATATTTCAAGAAATTATCACATCTTTTGAATCAGTTGTTTTTTCAGTTCAGACTGGGAATGAAGGCAGCTTCTTGTTCCTGTCTCTGGTCATGTGATATGTCAGAGGAAGAAGGGCAATCTGCACTCACTCTTCAGCAAGCGCCCATTCTGAGAAAAAGATCCGTTCTCAGTGGGTGTCCCCT